TGATAATAAGAATAACTATGATGCTGATAAGAAAAATAATAATAATGATTATAGTGAAAATGATGATAATGATGATGATGAATGATAATAATAATAATAATAAAGATGTAGATAATAATAATAATTAAAATAAGAGAAGTTATAATAATACTGCTTATGCTAATAGTTATAATAATTCAAACAATGACTATACTCATAATCGTAGTGATGAATTTAATGACAATGAAATTAATAATAATTATGATAATAATGGTGCTGTTATGAAAATCATAAGGATAAACATGTTAAGAGTATTGGTGACAATAATGATAATAATGATAATTACTATGATGATAATAATAATGATAACTTTAACTATGATAATGATGATGATAATGATAATGATTATGATGATGCTAATAATGCTGATAAAGACGATGATGATAATGATAATGATCATGATAATAATAATAATAATGATGATTATGATAATAAGGATGGTGATGATGATAATGCGGATAACAATAATAATGTTGATTATGATAATAACAATAAGGATGATAGAGATTATAGTAATTATGATAAAAATAATGATAATGATACAAATAATAATGATAATTATGACGATAATGATAATGTTGACAATAATAATGATGATGATGAAGATAATGATAATGATGATAATGATAAGGGTAATAATAATGATGATGATGACGATGATGATTATAATGTCAATAATTTTACTAATCATAATGATGAAGATAATAATAAAAGTTAAAAATATTATGATACTAATAATGATGATGATAATGATTTTAATGATACTGATAATAGTGATAATAATGATGATAAAAAAGATGACAATAATAATAATAATAATAGTGATAAGAATAATAATGAGTATAATAATGATGATGATGATAATTATGATATTAATGATGATCATAATAATGATTATAATGATGATGATGATAATGATGATAATNATAATAATAATTATTATAATAATGATAATAATAATAATGATGATGATGTTAGAGATGATCATTATGTTAATGATGTCAATGATAATGATGATGATAAAAATGCTCACTTTATTAACGATGAAATCAAGATATCAATAACAATGATTATATGTTGATGATATGATTATATGATTGATATTATGTTGATGTTGATGATTAATTTAATAATAATGTTTAACATAATGATGTCAATAATTATTATGATAATGATGACGATGATGATGATGATAATGACGTTATAAATTTAGATGATAAGGACGACAATGACGAGTATGTTAACAGATAATGATGATAATGATAATATTGCTATTTTAACATTAAAAATAATTAATTGGTACTGCCACAAAATTGCAACAGACCGCACAAAGCATAAAGGTGGTACTTCGTACCACTCGTCTTATCTTACACCGCGATCCCCTGCTGTCATGGAGGAGTTAAAATCAGACGAGTAAAGGTTATAACTATTAGTTCAAATTTTTCTCGGATGGTACTCAGCTAAAAGACTTTACTCTGACTTGGTCTACATAGTGACTGTTGTAAATCTGTCATGGTCCGGTTGACTGAAGAGATGGTTGCTGCCCGTACTAGGATCTCTGATTGCACTGCTGTGAAAAAATTAAACTGCTGGTAGGCATTGAGTGAATTCAGCTACACCAACATGGACATGTACATTAATAATACGTCGTAAATGTGTGAATGTTACTGTAAATTATTTTTCCAGGGGCACTGAGCTTACTGATGTCAGCATTCTGCGTAAGATGCACAATGTTGAGGTTCTTTCACTTAGGTGAGTGAATCTTTCACTCTTTGTTTATGTACTTATTGTATATTAGCTATGCATTTGTATTAAAACTTATAAAAGTCATTATTTGTAAATGTGTTGTCTACTAATTTTGAATTATAAAGGTTAGAAGGGACATTTCTATTTCACTTGCAAATACATGTTTTTTGGAAATAATTATTCTTCTGTGAGTACAATATGATGATTGTATTACTCATATCTGGAGTACCAACACTACAGAGAATCACCATGTTCATCTAGTTAGTATTACTACTGTTTGTATCTTGCTAGATTAAGAGCTGCAACTGTTAAGGGATCCTATAATAATGCAATCTTTAACAAAATTAGTCGAATGTGACTTCAAAATCTGTTATTTAGAACCCATAAGTTTATTGGAGTCTTATGATGAAGTAAACGAATGCTTAAAATTTTAAATACAACACAATGTGTTCTAAAACTATTCCATCATGGTTCAAATACTGAAAGTAAGTATTTGTTAAAAGTTTGAAACGTTAAAGGTAACGTTCCTTGCACTAACTCTTCTAATTTAAAGCATTGTCAATGCTTGTTAAAAAAAAGGTGCCTAAAAATTTACACTGACTAAAAATAAACTTGCACAGGAATTAAAGCTATTATATTCTTTATTGGCTTAAAATAAACTGTTTAGGTGTTCAAAACTAATAAACAATAAATCACATCAGTAATCAACCTCTGACTAAGCCCCTTTGCACCTTAACTACAACAGTAACTGTAGAAATTATACAATTCATTTAAAATAATCTGGAAATCATAATAGCCCTGTCAACACGCGGAGGTAGGCTAAATACATTGATATAGACTTGTGCGATTCAAATGCTCCATGCGCTCCAAGCGATTCAAAGGTCATTCAGGTGTACATCTATATTTACAGTCTTGACCATAAATACCGATGTACACCTCAATGACCAGTGTTGGGTGAGGCGGATTCAATATTGGAACTTTTTCCATAGATCGTGTAGCTACATATACGATCTAGGGATAATGTTCCGCCAAGCAGACAGCAGTGGAGGTGCACTGCCCAAAGACGGTACCAACAACTCGCAAAATTTCGAAATTTTAAAATTAATAACACAAGCGCCCATCACCCGATGACCTGGGGCACTTACTGGCCTCACTATTAAATAATAAAATGTTTATTAAAAATACAAGCGCCTATCACCCAGTGACCCATGGTGCTTACTGGCCGCTCTATTATATGATAAGAAGTTAAATAATAACGCAAGCGTCAATCGCTTGATAACCAAGGGCGCTACTTGTGTTTAAGTAACATTTTATCATGTAATAGAGAGGCCATTTAGCACCCAGGGTTACTGGATGATAGGCGCTTACGTTATAAACCAATATTTTATTATTTAATATAGTGGCCTGTAAGCGCCCCGGGTCACTGGGTGATAGGCCCTTGTGTTATTATTTAACATTTTA